CCCCCCCCCCCCCCGCCCCCCCCCCCAACCCCCGCGCGCTCGCCCTGCTCGTTGTCGGACCCGCTTGGCCTATCTTCACACACACCATCGGGCCAAAAAAAATTGTCTCAAAAAAAAAATGGTATGTTTTTACGGCTTTTTGCTTGCGGCGAGAGCAGAGGCAGTGACAGGTCGAGGGCTGGAGGCAGTGATCGCGACCGTGGACGCAAGGAGAAGGGCCGCGATCGGGCAGGAAGCGGTGGGAGACGCCGGTCGCGAGAGCGGGAGAGCGAGGAGGATGCCCGCCGCAGGAAACGCCGCAGGAGGAGTTCAAGCCGTAGCCGTAGCCGTAGCGCCGACCGGTATCGAGCCCGCCGTGAGCGGGACGACCGTCGCTAATTTGTGCCTGGTATTGTTGTGTCCGGAGCGCGTTTTTTTTTTTTTGTGTACTCGACAAACCAAACCAACCCAAAAACAAACCAAACCCATCTCTTCCACAGATAAAGAGTTCGTGATGGATTATTGGCAATGAATTCATTGCGTTGTACGGTGACCAACTCGTATTTTTTGCGGTTGTTCGTGAAGCGGCCGGGGTGTGTGTGTGCCACTTGATGCAAGGGTTTTGCTTGAGCCTCTGTCGGGGGCGGTTTTGGCTTGTTGCTCATGTAAGGTGTAGGCATGCGTCTTTTGGCCGTAGTGTTGCTGTGGTGGTCCAGTGTGGGCGTCTTTTCACAAAGTATTTGCTCTCGAGCGGTGTGTGCTCGGATTCGCTTGTGGTGTGTGGCTGGCTCTCGTGACGTAGTATCGAAGTATCGTGAATGTTCATCTTTGGAAGTATCAGATGCCAGCGATCGTTAGGCGGCACTTCGTGGAACTTGTCTCTGTAGGTTCTGCTGTGGCGCTGAACGGCGAAGTCGAGAAAAACGTGGTACGTAACGGCTAGAAGAAAGGACAGGACGCTTGCTGTCAACGTATTGTTTTTGAGTCGAATTGTTGTTGGTGTGCGTGCATGTGCGTCGTTAACTATAGTAGCATCGACCGCGGTGGTTGTGGGCTGAAGTATGGACGTCAGTCCTGCGGCTAGAATGACAACACACGCGAACCGAATGCGTATTCTAGCGATGTATCTTTATCTTCTTCGTGCGATGTCACGAACGGTAGTTGAACAAGTGAGACGGACAGCCCCGCCGCACACTCGACATAGACAGGCACCCATTCTGGCGGCGCGCGGCACCCGCTACCCCAAACAACGTACTCGTTCACGCAAACACAATATTAAGCTCACAAGATGAAGCTGCTGCAGGAGCCTGGCCTGTTTTATTAGCTCACCAACCTGTGGTCAGCAAAAGTTGCGTGTTGTCGACTTCAGGACGTATCTGCCCAATAAACGTGGTCCCGTGTTCAGCCCGCCCGTTGTATTGACGATTCCCTAGTACTAAGGCCTTGCTTTGGTGTGACTACAGTACTGCGCGTGAACGAGACTTTCTTTCGCCAATGCCGCAGGGGCGCCTCACCGGTCGGCCGATCGAAGGATGCGTTTACACGTTTGCTAGGTGTCATGCCGACTCGGCATGCATGTGGTCCCTTCTCGTCTGATCTCCTCAGAATATATAGAGGCAGTGAGGTCAAGGCTTCGCTGCCCCTGCTGCGCTTCTCTCGTATGGAATTTGAGTGCGCCCCAAGGGCCGAATTGACGGAGAAGCCGGGTTAGAGGGCCTCTGCCGAGATTTCCCATGTAGGACCACCGCCATTGGAAGCCTACAGCACTCCTTTAGTGCAGCGTGCTGTCACGCGATGCACACACCAAAGGTAGGTCCGAGGGATAGGACAGGTTCGTGCAAGCACGGCGGGCGGGACTCGACCACAACTCTGTTGCAGAAAACCTTCCCAAGTGCAACAACAACCGTCGTGACGTGATCCGAACAACTACTACTTCACGTCGTGCAACAACGCGCGTTCCCAAGAAGAAACAGACAAAGTATGGTCATCTTTCCAGTCCAATTCTTCGCCTCCTCGCGCACCCCCCCCCCCCAGCCCCCGGCCGTGCGAAACAATACGTCTACGAAGTCTCGCCCCATTCTTCCGCGGGCTCGGCGGCCGCCTCCTCCATCTCCCTGCGCTCTCGATCCAACTCGTCGGCGTGGCTCGCTATCAGCCGGGTCATGAGGGAAATGCTGGGGCTGAACCCGGCGCCGACCATCACCTGGGCGATCTCCAGGGCCTCCCCGACCCTCCCCGCGGAGTCGCAGGCGCCGAGGACGGCCCGGAACGCCTCCTCCGGGGGCGGCGGTAGGTGGTCCGCGGCCGTCATGTCGTCCAGTATAGCCCTGGCCCGCTCCCAGTCCGCGCCCCCCCCGCCCCTGCCGTTGCTGCTGTTGTTCACGGACCTATTGCTATCGGTGCTTGATGCCCCGCTGCCTGGCACGGAAGAGCTGCCGCCTTGGTCTGCTGCGGCGGCGGTGGGGGTGCTGCTGCTCCCAGCAGCAACTACTGCTGCGTCAGGGTCCACGCGAGGTGTTAGTCGTTGACCGCTACTTCTACCCCCCCCGGCCGCCGCCGGTGCCGCCGGTGCCGCCGCCGCCAGCGGCGACAACACGTTTACCGCTCCGGCGCGGGAAACATCCGCTCTAGCGGACGCCGGCGACGTAGTACCGCCGTCGCCATCCCGCCGAGAAGCCGCCGCCGTCGTCGCCTCTCCCTCCCGCGGGAACGGTGCACCGTCACCGCCGCCGAAGCCCACCGCGCCACTGCCCCCGGGGCCCGCCTTAGCTCCGCCTGTGGCCCAAGCGGCGCCGCCCATGGTTCCCGGGGGGGTGACATTTTTCTCGTTGCCGTCTTCGTCGAACTCGGGTGGGCTTACCCTTCCCCCCGGGATGACGACCCACTCCAACTCCGGCCGCCGTTCCGCCTTCCTCTCCTCCTCCTCGCCCAGCGGCGGCTGTGGTCGCTGCTGGTTCAAGCTCTCTGCCGCCGCCGCCGCCGCCGCCGCCGCAGCCGGCATCTCCTCGGCAACCCGTCCCCGCTCGACGTCCTCGTCTACCGACGAGGCGGGGTCCCCGACGCCCGGGACGGAGGTGCCGGCGGTGGCTGGCCGCAACACCGCGGCGACGCCGTCATCACCATCATCACGGGGAGGAGGAGGAATTCCCGTGACGACGTCACTCGTAGCAGCGGCGGCGGAGTGCTGTTCGCTCTCCGGCGCTTCCCCCTCCGAGAACAGCTTTCGCCTGACGCCCGCAAGGTCTTCCGGGGACGTGGCCCCGCTCGCAAAGGTGGGGGGAGGCAACGGCAGCCGCTGCCGCGATGTCGCCGGCGGTGTGGTGAAGGACGACGGCTGCTGTGGGGCGGCGGGGGAGTCCTGAGGAACGGCCGGGTTGCAGCACGCCTCTATGGCGAGCATGTACGCCTCTTCGCTGGCCTGGAAACCCTCCAGCTTCATCCACCTGAGCACGTCTCGGGCGAGGCTCCCGTCGCCCGCCGCGGCACACATCTGCAAAGCGAGCCCCCCCCCCCCCGGGGGCGGGGGTTGGACGGGGGTTGGAATTCTAAACGACAGAAAAACGGGGGGCGCATCAAAACGGGAAGGGGGGATGGGTGGGACGCTTTGAACGGTTGTCGTTGAGGCAGGGGGGGGCGTTCGAGCTTTCCCACCAAAAATGTTCGCGACTGGCGGTGTGACTAGTAGTAGTAGATATGCTACAGGCACAAGTTTCAGCGAAGTGGACCCCGATCCAACTACTGGGGTATATGTTGCCCGCCATCCCTTATCCACTTCAACACCACATTTTCCATGTCCTCCTACGTGTGGTATTTTGTGACACCTCAGCCCCCCCCCCCCCCGCCCTTTCGAACAAATAACAAGCACGCACCACGCTGTATCAGGGATACGTATTGTGCGCAGCGCGTACCGTGCCAAGCCCTGCTACTGCCCTACCAGTTCATTCGGATAGCACACAGGTATCGTCCCTAACCTACACACCGTATGCACGAGTGGGGACCGACCGCCAGTGGGTACAGCCGACAAGTTGAACAAAGAAAAAAGCGTACCGTACATCTCTCTCCCCAAACCCCGCAAACCGCTCTTCCTCGACGCACAACACAGAACAGCAACAGCAACCGACACCGATACAACCCAGTCTAGCCTCACCGTCAGGCACGACATGTACACGGCCTCCACGCCGGCGTTGACGCGCGCGGGGCGTTTCGGGGCGGTGCCGGAATCGGCGGCGGCGGCGGCGGCGGCGACGGCGGCGGCGGCAACCTCGGCCGCGTCGTCGGTCGCGACGCCGGCGGCGCGACGGCCCTCGACGAAGAGCATCCTGCCGGCGGCGAATTCTCAGGCCTCC